TTTTAATTTATTTTATTTTGAGTATTTAAAAAAAAAATCAAATGGACTATGCCTGATTTTTTTTTTTTTGGCAAAATACATTTTTCGTCCCTGAGGTTTGAGGTAGATGACTACTTGGTCCTGAAGTTTCAAAACGAATATTTTTGGTCCATGAGGTTTGAGATAGGTGTTTAATTGGTCCCTGAAGTTTCAAAATGAATATTTTTGGTCATTGAGGTTTAAAGTAGGTGTTACTTTTGGTCTTGAAGTTTCAACTGAGTATGGTTTAATTACAATTTGCAATATTATTTTAATATTAATTAATTAACAGTAAAAAAATCAAGGATCATTTAGAATTATTTCTCAAACTTCAAGAACCAAAAGTGTTCATTTTAAAACTTCAGGGACCAAGTTAACATCTACTTTAAACCTCAATGACCAAAAGTGTTCATTTTGAAACTTCAGAGAACAATTAGACACCTATCTCAAACATGAAAGACCAAAAGTGTTCATTTTGAAATTTCAGGGACCAAGTAGGCATCTATCTCAAACCTCATGGACCAAAAATGTATTTTGCCTTTTTTTTTCATTTTTATTTTATTGCATAATTTTAAAATTTTATCTAAACTAACAACAAATATATATATATATATATATATATATATATATATATTTTCATTTGATTACCTTAAAAAGTATATATATTATTGTAAATTTATTATTTACAACAATATATTTTCTTTAATACTCAGCTGTTGTTAACAATCATACTTATGCTAATCACAAATAAAAATAGGACAATTTTATTATTATTTTGAAAAAAAATTAACATAAAAGTATCTTTCTTGCTTTATTCTACCCAACCAAAGTAATAGGAATAAAAATTCAGTACAAACAATAACACATATTCATCATACCAACCTTCCAATGCGTTCCCTCACTCCCATTTGGTTCTAATTTGATGAGTGTGCCTAAATTCCCAAGTAAGAACCAAACTTCCATCCATTCTCTTCAGCACAAACCTCTCAACCAACACGTAACATCCAAATCTCCTCCATTCTCCCCTCTCCTTAAACTCCTCTCTTCTCTTCACCTTCACATATTTCTTTTCCTTTTCTTTTCCAAATTCAAATCCCGCCCTCTCCTCCTCCCATTTCACTCTCTCCACAATCGCCAAGCTCAACCCAACCCCCGACGACCCAAACCACATAACCCCATCACCAGCATTTCTGCCACCTGCAGCCTGACCCGCAATCGAAATCACTTCCCTTTCCACAGAAACATCAAAATCCACCACTCGCCCACCTCCCCCCAAACTCCCACACCCAAATATCTCCTCCCAATTCTGCTGAAGGGTCATTTCGTAGTACGGCGAGTTGCTCATCTGAGACTCAACCGCACCATCCCGAACAAAAATGAAAGGGCAGTACCACTTCCCCACCACCACCGGGTTAGGTGGGAAGGCGAGGTCGGGAAGGCGGGCGCGTAGGGCGGCGTCGAGGCCGAGGGCTTCGGTGGGCAAGGAGTTATTGTTGTTAAGGGGTTCGGGATAAGCTCTCCAGCCCTTGCGCCTCAGGAGCTCTGGAGGAACCCCGTCAGGAGCCACAGACTTGGAGATGAAACCATTGGGTTTTCCACAGTATATATAGTTACTAATTTGAAACTGTTGATAAGTATTTTTTGGGTCCAGGAGTTGCGCTGGTGCATCATGAATGCGGTAGAAGAAGCGGCTCCTTCTGCTTGTGTTGTCTTCCTTTGAACTTGTGCATGCTAGCCTGCGATTTGGTTAAAATATATTAGACATTTATCTATACAAATCAATAGACAAATCTTGATTCATTTTCTAACTTTTTCTGTACAATAGCCTGCAATTGCATCAAGAGCGGGAGGCGCGTACCCTTTTGCAGTGCCACGCGAATCGATGACATAATATTGATTGGAAGAGAGGGGCTGATTCAGAACTGGAACAAGCAACGCGTATAAGGAATCAGAATACTCATATTCTCCTGCGTCCGCCGCGTGCGTAAGCCGCAGTATCCTGTTCTGAGGGAGCGGCGGCACCTTCACAGAATCCTTCTTCTTAAACACTCCAAAAAACCATCTCGATTCCGCGCCTTCTTCTTCGTCTTCGAACACCAAAATCCCCGAATTCGGACCCTCCGGCGGCGGCGACGATAGCCACGAGGGAGAGTTTCTGTACAGAGAAAGAGGCCTCGTCACGTACATGTCTCTGCAATTTGCGATTGATTTCCGTTGATCGCTAATTTTCTTTCATTTATAGATGAACTGGATCGAAGACCTAATGGCTAAAGGCTTTGGCGAGGGAAGTTTCTTGACTGTTGAATTCGTCGATTGTGGCATTCGAGGAGCTGCGGGACAAAGAACTCGGCTGCTTCTTGTGATTAATATTCAGCAGATTCGGTTGATTTGTGTTATTTTATTTGCTTTCTCCCTCTAGAAATTCCAACTTCCAAGTTGCAACATGGTTAACGGTCTCCATTTTGATTGTACAATTTTAGAAAGTCTATGTTCATAAAAACGGCTTAGTCATAATATTATATTACTTGTTTTGTCTCGCACTGCAGAAATGTCAAATTTCAAATATCAGCCAACTTTTAAAAATAAACAAAAAGTTTGAAAACCATGGAGAGTGGAACTAGAATCAAGCCTTTAGTAATGTTTGGTTCGGTAACTTTTTTGTTTTTATTTCTTTGTTTTCTATTTTCAATTTCTAATTTTTTTTAAACTATAAAAAATATGCATGGTAATTATTTTATTTTATGGATTTAAATTTACACTCTCTTAATTTGAGGTATATGTCAATTATGGCTGATGTATGCTCGTTTTGGCTGCATGTGATTATCTATGTGAAAAAAGAAACAAAATGGTTATCAACATTTTCTTGTATAAAATTAGAAAAAAAAAATATTCTCCTTTATGGTTTTTTTTTCCGAGAAAATATCAATTTTCACGGGATTGATTGTACCCTGGATGAATTAAAAAAATATAAACTGACACATACTTTTTTGTTTGGTGTTTTTTATGGGAAGTAAATTTGTTATGTTTATAAATATAGTAATAACTTTTTCCTTTGCTAAATATGACAACATTTTTAAAATTATATATATATTTTTGGTTATTTTAATTTTGACCTCTCTATTTTCATAAATTGAAAAATAAATTGATATAAAAAAAGTACGTCATTGATATAACTGTGAAATCGGAACACTAAATTAATCGGTAATATACTTCTTTAAGTGTGTTACTTATATAACTAATATACTTTATGTAAAGTATATCAGTCACACCAAATATTTGAATTATTTGAATTATGTATTTCAACTAGGGATATAACATTGATAAATCTTTTTCAGGTTGAAGATTATGATTCAAATAACATTGCAATGATTCAAATAACATTGCAATTTTTTATTTTGTCGATATATTAAGTATATATCATTGATATACTTTATTTTAGTCATATCATTGATATACTTAATATGAAGTATATCAGTCACGTTAAATATATATCAACAACGTACATCATATTAGGTATATTGGTATGTTTGATATTAGGTATAGTAATGTGATGGTTTTCTCATTTTTTAAAAATTACCTATTTTAAGGATAGTATATCCAACTTTTTCATTTTTTTTGTTTGTTTGAGATGCACACTTGCTATATTTAATTACAAATCATAAAAGTGGTTACTATAATTGTAATTTATTATTATTATTATTATTATTATTATTATTATTATTATTTTGCTCTATATGCGCTTAAAATTTCTACCTTCTAACTTTTTAGGTATGTAATTCAAAAGTTAAATATGAATGCAAATATTGAAGTTTCAAATCTATGAAATGGTGAATATTTCTAAAAAATTATAAAATTAAAATTAAAATGATTTAAATTAACAAAGCATTTCACCATTTTAAAAACAAAATTAAAGTCTTTTTTTCTTTTTACAATATATTAGGGTAAAATATCAAATTTATTGATTAAAAATATATACCAATTACCGTTGAGTTATGTATTTTAGTAAAATAAGTTTAAAGTTAATGTTGAAGAATAAACTTTAAACTTTAAATATTTTTATATACTTATATTTTTGTCACAAGAGAAAGGGAGATTTCTCGACTCCGCCCTTGATTTGACTCCAAAATTGGGAAGTTGAAGAGAAGACCAGGGAGCAGAAAGATCAAAGTGACGACTACAATTGAGTTTCAAATATAATATGTTATCCTTAACGGAACGTGGCCAGAAAATCAAACTCATAATTATTCATATTTCTTGTACCAAGGATTTCATACTATTCCATCCGTGAACTAACAGGTATTTAAATGGATCATAAAATAAAATAATACACCACTTAATGACGTGTCAAAGCGTAAATGGAAGAAGTACTTTATACTTTCGTTGTACTAAAAAAATTGGGAGATTGACCCAAATGATCCAGTAAAATTTTCACGTTGCTCAAATAGCTCATCCTCAAAATTTTTTTTTTTTCTAATTTATCAGATCATTTTAATTAATTTAAAATTAATTAAAATTATATTTGTGTCTCTAAAGTGAAAAAACAATTGTTGTCCTCCTCTATCGTTTCACTCTCTTTCCCTTCTTCTTCCCCTTTCGTTCCAGTTTCTTATTCTCCCTTTTTCGTTTCAATGTCTTCTTCTTTAAAGTGAACTATTATGCCCCTTTTCATTTTCTATATTTATCTTTACTTTTGTTTTTCGATTTACTTTCTCTTCTCTTATTTTTCAATTTCAACTTTTGTCACTTTCTTCGATTCAAATGAGGATTGAGATACAACTCTAGTCTTGAATTATTGGGAGATATAGCATTTTCAATCAAGAGATGTAGAGTTTCTGTTATATTGTTATCTAATTTTAGTTATTTTTGTATCAATTCTTTCATGTACATATACGATTCTGGGAGAATGTCAATATGAATGAGAAATATCAAATTTCTTCTCTTTTTGTCTAATATGGTATTAGATTTCTTCTCTTCTCATCGGGATTTCTCTTTGGATATTTCTACCAATTATGAACCACAGTTCTATCATCAAGCTCTTCCTTTTAAACATTGGCAAGAGGCTATGCAAACATAGGAGACGAATAAGACGAATAATACTTGGCAGGTTGTCTCTCTTTCTCAAGGAAAACACACCATTGGTTGCAAGTGGATCTACAAAATTAAGCATCGAGCTGATGGCTCTATTGAACGCTATAAGCTCGATTGGTTTTCAAAGGTTTTACACAACAAGCCGGTTTGGATTTTGTTGAGACATTTTCTCCTTCGCGTCCTTCTTACAATTGCTGTTTCTCATGGATTTGCCTTTAGGATATCATCATCCGACTACGGTTCCACTTAAGGGGAGTGTTTGGTTTGTCGTCTCAATAAATCCATTTATGGCTTGAAGCAAGCTTCTCGTCAATGGTTCGCCAAGTTTTCTGATGCTTTAGTTTCTCTCGGGTTTCAACAATCTAAAGCCGATTATTCATTATTTGTTCGAGGTTCTGGTACTCGTTTTATGGTGCATGTTCAAAGATCCTTTTCAACTCAAGGATCTAGGATCTCTCAAATACTTCCTCGAGACTTGAGCTTGCTCCTTCTACCAAGGGCATTTGTGTGTCACAACGCCATTATACATTGCAGCTTCTTGAAGACATTGGTCTTTTAGCTTGTAAACCGGCCCCTGTACCTATGGATCCTCACTTGAAGTTACAACTTTCTGATGTCGATTTGCTGCCAGATGCTTCCATTTACAGACGACTTATTGGCTGTCTTCTGTACTTAATAATTTCACGCCCAGACATCTCTTTTGCAGTGAATAAGTTAAGTCAATTTGTATCACGCCCTTGCAAGATTCATTTGGCTGCTGTTTACCATCTATTACGTTACCTGTTTCTACCTGTTTCTTCTTCGTTTCAACTCCGAGCTTTTGCCGACTCCGATTGGGCTTCTTGCCTTGATTCACGGCGTTCCACTACGGGTTTTTGTGTCTTCTTAGGCGATGCTTTAGTCTCTTGGAAGTCCAAAAAGCAAGCTACCATTTCTCGTTCATCTGCTGAAGCTGAATATCGAGCATTAGCTGTGGCTACTTGTGAGTTATTGTGGTTGTCTAGTCTTTTGTCTGATTTACAGGCCCCGCCAGCTCTTTTGTTTTGCGATAATGAGGTTGCGGTTCATATTGCCTCTAATCCTATCTTTCATGAGCGAACGAAACACATTGAATTGGATTGTCATTTTGTTCGGGACAAAATCGTTGATGGCTTCCTCAAACTTTTGCCTATACGAACTCACTCCCAGCTTGCTGATCCTTTTACCAAAGCACTTCCTGCACCTACTCTTTTCCTTTATTATCCAAGATGGGTGTCTTAGACATTTACCATCCATCTTGAGGGGGAGTATTGGGAGATATAGCATTTTATATTATGTACAATACATTAGCTTGTTATCTTGGTAGTTAGATAAATCAGGAGATGTAGAGTTTCTATTATATTGTTATCTAATTTTAGTTATTTTTGTATCAATTCTTTCAGGTACATATACGATTCTGGGAGAATGTCAATATGAATGAGAAATATCAAATTTCTTCTCTTTTTGTCTAATATGAATATATATATTTTTTAATTTGGGTTTTGTTTAAATTAAAATGGAGATAAATCTCAAACTTGAATCCAAATTGCATAAATCTTAGCTTCTTGATTTTTTTTTTCCAATTTGGGTTATGCCCATTAATATCGAGTTTGAATCTCACCCGAGATGACATAAATCTTGACTGAAATTCATAAATCTCGCTCGAGACTCGTGTAAATTCGTGTAGGATTAAGGCAAAACTTGGACGAGTTCAAATAAAACTTATCCGAGAATCATGAAAAACTCGGACAAATTCGTAGAAACCTCGCCCGAATTAGAAAATTGCAGATTTACAAGGGAGTTTGAATAACTTGTCGGATGAAGTCAAATACATTATAAAATATATGTCCAATTTATTTCAATTAAGGGTGCTTGGCTTGTTGGCTTTGTACGTGAGTTAGCATCCTCAATGGCGAAATTGGCGAGGGTTCTCAACTCCAACCATGGTCGTTTTTCAGTTTTTGTGCATCTCTAATTTCAAAAAAAAAAAAAAAAGAATACTGAGTTTCACTGCACAAGAATTGAAGTCAAGTCCTCGATCATTAAGTGGTTTAGACCAAAAATACCAGGCCAAATACTAATTTGTTAGTATAAATGACAATTAAAAAGATATATTTAATTTTAAACTTGATTGAGATACACAAATGGTAAAAACTCGTCCGAGAACTAATTTCGAGAAAATTTCATAAAAATTCGGACAAGTTTTCTTCGAACTCGCCCGAGATCTGTGGCTCCCTTTAACGCTCTAATGAATACAAAACGAGGGATAGTTAGGTACATTTACTTCTACGTGTCAAAAAAATTTGTCTAAAAATATAATACAAATAAAGATTCATATAGAAAAGCAAAACAAATATAATCAAATTTCGGTAACTCCAAATACAAATTACTATGAATTCTCTACCCAACCAAAGTAACAAGATGAACAATATACACGTGATAATTAATATGCTACGCTAATATCATCTCAGTTCCATTTGGTTCTAATTTGGTGGGTGTGCCTGAATTCCCAGGTAAGAACCAAACTTCCATCCATTCTCTTAAGCACAAATCTCTCGACCAACACATAACATCCAAATCTCCTCCATTCTTCCACCCCTCCAAAATCCTCTCTTCTATTCATCTTCACATATTTCTCTTCTTTTTCTTTTCCAAACTCAAATCCCGCCCTCTCATCCTCCCATTTCACTCTCTCCTCAATCGCCAAGCTCAGCCCAACCCCCCTCGAACCAAACCATACAACCCCATCGCCAACTTCTCTACCATCGGCCCGCTGACCCGCAATCGAAATCACTTCCCTTTCTACAGAAACATCAAAATCCACCCCTCGCTCACCTCCCCCCAAATTCCCACACCCAAATATCTCCTCCCAATTCTGCTGAAGGGTCATTTCGTAGTACGGCGAGTTACTCACTTGAGAACCAACCTCCCCATCTCGAACGAAAATGAAAGGGCAGTACCACTTCCCCACCACCACCGGGTCCGAACATTTGGCTGGCAGCGGGAAGCTGAGATCAGGGAGGCGGCCACGCAGCGCGGCGTCGAGGCCGAGCGCTTCCGTGAGCTCCAAGTTTTTGTTAAGGGGTTTGGTTCCAGCCTTCCAACCCTCGTGTCTAAGGAAATTTGGAGGAATCCCGTCAGGAGCTACGGACTTTGACACAAAACCCCAGGGTTGTCCTCCACACTCTATTATTCTACTACTAATCTCGAACTGTTGATAAGCATTTTTTGGGTCGAAGAGTTGTGGTCGTTTATCGTTGATGACGAAGCAGCACCAGCAGCAGCGGCTCATCTCATCTTCCTTTGAACTTGTATATGCTAACCTGCAACTCATAAATATGTTAGCATAAAAACTATTTTTAGTTATTTACTAATTAATGTCATATGTTAAGTCAATATTATCCTAGTCTTTAGGAAACTAGTTGATGACTTAGTTGGTCGTGGAGTGCTATTTTTGTCTAATTTGGTTATGTATTTGCCTAAATAAATAGGTGCTGTATTCTCAATTGATTTGAGTGAAAATCATTCCTTCCTCAAATTTGTTGTCCCCTGTGTTTATTTTGATATTTGGGAAGAGTGTGAAAATTCTAAAAGGGAAACACAGGGAAAGGAAAACACAAGGAAGTGAGAGCAATCAGTGCAGTAGCATTAAGTTCTGTTTTGCTCATATTGTTTTTCTATTTTGCAGCATAAATGGCCTCGGAGGGTAACTTTGTGCAAGCAGCTATTCCTCGTTTTGATGGTCACTACGATCATTGGAGCATGTTGATGGAAAATTTCTTGCGGTCCAAAGAATACTGGCATGTTGTTGAAACGGGTGTTGCAACACCTGCAGCTGGAGAGATTCTCACAGACGCTCAACAAAAGGAGTTGGAGGGACTCAAGTTGAAAGACTTGAAGGCAAAAAATTATCTGTTTCAGGCCATTGATCGTTCTATCCTGGAGACTATTCCTTGCAAAGAATCATCCAAGGATATTTGGGAATCAATGAAGAAAAAGTATCAAGGCTCTTCGAGAACAAAGCATGCACAGCTTCAAGTCTTGAGAAAGGAATTTGAGATGCTGCAAATGAAGGAAGGTGAATCTGTGACTAGCTATTTCGCAAAGACGATGGTTGTGGCCAACAAAATGCGGTTCCACGGTGAAAAGATGGAGGATGTTGTCATTGTTGAGAAGGTATTGAGATCTATGGCACCTAAGTTCAATTATGTTGTTTGTTCAATTGCAGAATCTAAAGATGTAGATACGCTCTCCCTTGATGAGCTCCAAAGTTCGTTGTTGGTTCATGAACAAAACATGAATYGAGATTCAACAACARAGGAACAAGCRTTAAAGGCTTCTACYTYTACTTCTTCCTCCAATTTCAGAGGACGAGGAYGAGGTCGAGKTTGGAGTAGAGGTACAGGCCGAAGCACAGGCAAAGGAAGAAGAGATCAAAGCAACAACAATGGTGGTGCCAACCAATCTCAAGGCAGAGGTAGATGGCGTGATCAACAATTTGACAAGTCCACGATCGAGTGTTTTCGATGTCATAAACTTGGTCATTACCAGTCTGAATGTTACACCAAGCTTCCCCACAACAGAGATAAGGAAGAGTCTTCACACTTTGTTGAAAAAAATGAAGTCGAAACACTATTGATGGCTGCCCAAGATAGCAAGGAACCAGAACCCGATATTTGGTACGTTGATACGGGKTGCAGCAACCACATGAGTGGGAGTAAGTCTTCTTTTTCTCATCTAAATGAAGATTTTCATTCCACGGTCAGTTTCGGTGATTTATCTATTGTAAAAGTAATGGGAAAAGGGGATATTAAGATAAAAACTAAAAATGGCTTTGTGGAAACGATCTCCAACGTCTTGTTTGTTCCTAGTTTAAAGAGTAATTTGTTGAGTGTTGGTCAATTACTAGAAAAGGGTTATGTTATTACTCTTAAAGATGATTCTTGTGAAATTTATGATCTTATTAGAGGAGCTATTGCAGTAGTTCCTATGTCTGCAAACAGATTGTTTCCTTTGAAGATTGAAAGTACTCAACCTTGTTTAATGGCTGAAATTAAAGATCCCTCATGGTTGTGGCATTTTCGCTATGGCCACTTGAGTTTTAGTGGTTTGATGACCTTGAAAAAGAAGAACATGGTCAGCTGTCTTCCTCAGATTATTTCACCTACTCAAGTATGTGAAGAATGTKTTGTTGGCAAACAACATCGTTCTAAATTTGAAAACGGGAAGTCTTGGAGAGCAAAACATGTTTTGGAGTAGGTGCATTCAGATATTTGTGGGCCAATAAACCCAATTTTAAATGAAGGTAAGAGATACATTATTACCTTCACTGATGATTTTTCTAGAAAAACTTGGGTCTATTTTTTACAGAAAAATCAGAAGCGTATTTTACATTTAAAAGCTTCAAAGCCCATGTTAAAAATGAAGCAAGCAAAACCATAAAGACTCTTCGTACAGATCGTGGGGGCGAATATTGCTAAAAAGAATTCGAAATTTTTTGTGCAAAAAGCATGACATTCGAAGAGAGCTTACGGCACCCTACACACCACAACAAAATGGTGTGTCCGAGAGGAAAAATAGAACCATTATCAACATGGTTAGAAGCTTGTTGGCAAGAGGAGGAATCCCGAAGACTTTTTGGCCTGAAGCGGTAAATTGGAGTGTTCATATTATTAACAGAAGTCCAACTTTTGCTGTTAAAAATATGACACCAGAAGAAGCTTGGAGTGGAAGAAGACCTGCTGTGGATCATTTCAGAATTTTTGGGTGCATCGCATATGCTCATGTCACAAATGTAAGGAGGAAGAAGCTGGATGACAAGGCTGATAAATGAAACATCTAAGGTATTTAAATTGTTTAATCCACTAACAGAGAAGATAGTGATTAGCAGGGACGTAGTTTTCGATGAAGAAAACATATGGGATTGGAACAGGCAGCAGCCTACCCAAGTTCTTACAGAAGATAATGATAACGAGGAGCAAATTTCAGCCCCTCTTGTTGTTCAAAATGAAACTCCAACAACCGATGTAGTCTCACCAACAGTCACAGAAGTTAATGAAGAAGAAGCACGATCTCTGCGTCGTGTCAGAAGAAGGCCTGCTTGGATCGAAGATTACGAGGTCACTGACATTCAAGATCCAATCACTCATTTTGCTTTGTTTTCAGATTGTGATCCTACAACCTTTGAGGATGCTATCAAAGAAGAAAAATGGAGAAAAGCTATGGATGAGGAGATTGATTCCATYGAGAGAAACAATACTTGGGAGTTATCTGATCTTCCAGAAGGTCAGAAAAYGATTGGTGTTAAGTGGGTATTCAAAACGAAGTTGAAAGAAAATGGCGAGATTGACAAGCACAAGGCGCGTTTGGTGGCTAAAGGATACAAGCAGCAATATGGAGTCGACTATAYMGAGGTTTTTTCTCCGGTTGCAAGACATGACACGATCAGATTGGTGGTAGCATTGGCAGCTCAAAATTTTTGGCCTATCTTCYAACTAGATGTCAAATCGGCATTCTTACATGGTTATCTGAAGGAAGAGGTATTTATCGACCAACCCCCTGGTTATGTTGCAATTGGAAATGAGAATAAAGTTTTCAAATTAAAGAAAGCTCTTTACGGGCTAAAGCAAGCCCCCGTGCATGGTATAGTCGCATTGAATCTTATTTTCTTAAAGTTGGATTTTCTAAATGCCCCCATGAGCATACACTTTTCATCAAGGTTGGATATAATGGCAAAATTCTCATAATTTGCTTATATGTTGATGACCTTATTTTTACTGGAAATTGTGATGTCATGTTTAAAGAATTTAAGAAATCCATGATGGATGAGTTTGAAATGTCTGATCTTGGTATGATGCATTATTATCTTGGAATAGAAGTGCTACAATCAAAGGCTGGTATTTTTATCTCTCAAAAGAAATATGTGGGAGACATTCTTGACAGATTTCAGATGAAGGATTGCAATCCTGTAAACACTCCAGTTGAGTTTGGTTTGAAGCTCCATAAAGATCGTGAAGGGAAGAAGGTGGACAGCACACTTTACAAGCAAATTGTTGGCAGTTTGATGTATCTAACTGCAACAAGGCCAGACATAATGTATTCAGTGAGTTTAATCAGCAGATACATGGAACATCCTACAGAAATGCACTTGTTAGCAGCCAAGAGAATTCTCCGTTACTTGCAAGGGACGAGAGATTTTGGATTGTTTTACAAGAAGGGAAGCATGTCAGAATTGTTCGGTTTTGCTGATAGTGATTATGCAGGAGATCAAGATGATAGGAAAAGCACCTCGGGCTACGTTTATATGTATGGGACGAGTGTCATTTCGTGGTCATCGAAGAAGCAACCAATCGTCACTCTTTCAAGCACAGAAGCTGAATTTGTTGCTGCAACAGCTTGTGCTTGTCAAGCAACGTGGCTTCGGAGAATTCTAGAGGAGTTGAAATTCAAACAATCAGGAGCAACTACGTGACAACACTTAAGCCATTAAGTTGTCCAAAAATCCTGTGCTACACGGAAGAAGCAAGCATATTGACGTGAAGTACTATTTTCTAAGAGATCTTAGCAATGACGGCACCATTGATCTGAAATACTGCAAAAGCGAGGAACAACTGGCTGACATACTAACGAAACCTCTCAAGATTTCGGCTTTCCAAAATTTGAGAAGGTTGATGGGTATGTGCACTTTGAAGGACATCGATGTTGTTAACTGAAGCACTGATAGTGTTCAGTTTAAGGGAGGGATTGTTAGCATAATAACTATTTTTAGTTATTTACTAATTAATGTCATATGTTAAGTCAATATTATCCTAGTCTTTAGGAAACTAGCTGATGACTTAGTTGGTTGTGGAGTGCTATTTTTGTCTAATTTGGTTATGTATTTGCCTAAATAAATAGGTGCTGTATTCTCAATTGATTTGAGTGAAAATCATTCCTTCCTCAAATTTGTTGTCCCCTGTGTTTATTTTGTTTTTCTTTTTAACAAAATATATGGGTTATTAATATTATTACACAAATTCTAGATTTATGATTTTTAAGAGGAATTTTTCATTTTTACTCCTAACAAGTGTTGTGATTTATATAATTTCTAAAAACTAAATTTAAAAATTATCTACTAGGTGCACATATAAATAATACAAAACTTAACAAAAATATCAATGTCCATGATTACATATCTCAAATCAAGTGACAATAAAAAGAAACTCGTATATATATAATATCTTTTTAATGTGGAATAAAAGTGCAAAGTCCGACATTAACTATGAAAGTAAGTGATCCTAAGATGATTATGCAGGCTTGTATGCAAAGTAAATAATATCATAGATTTTTTTGAATACCAAAGTCTCCCTTTAAATTTCATGAGTTTTTTTTAAATTTTATTCTCAAGAAATTAAAATAGAAAATATTTAGGTGTCGCTGGATGAGAATACCCTTTTGTTTTGCCGGTGGATTGGATGACATAATATTGGTTGGAAGACAAAGGCTGATTGAGAACGGGAATCAGCATTGTGTATAAKTAATCGGTGTGATTGTCCTTGCCTCCATTTGTGGAATACGAATAGGAAAGCTGCAGCATCTTGTTCTGAGGGAACGGCGGCGCCTCCACCTCCCTCTTCACATACTTTGTGTTGACCAATCCAAAACAGCATCTGAAATCCACCACTTCATCTTCGTCCATCACCAGAACTCCTGTGTTTGGGCCCTCCGGCTCCGGCGCCGGCGCCGCCGAAGGCGAGCAATTTCTGTACAGCGAAAGTGGCCTCGTCACGTACATCTCTCTGTCTTCTATCACTAATTGATTTGTCTTTGATTTTGCTGATTATTTATAGTGGATTAGCTCAACGGCGCCATACGCGATTTCCAACATTACATTATATTCAAGAAAGTACTGGTTTGTAATGGTCGTAGGAAAGACGTGGAAAGAGAGATCAAGAAATGATCAAACGCGGTTGAGGACCAAACCTAATTAAATTTTAAATTTTTTGTATTTTTCCATCGACAAAATCTAACCGGGCGACTACATTTATTTGTCTCAAGTGGAATTAAGGGCCGCGTCTAAGAACCCGTTTGGTAATGTTATTGTTTTTTGTGTTGCATGGTTCCATCATCCAAGAATTCAACTTAAAACAATATTTTTATTTATGTTTTGGAACAAATTGGAAATGAGAACTAGAAAAGAAAAACTTGGGTTGTTTTCTAATACAATTGTGAGAATGTTCTAAAAAAAATGAGAAACAAAGATACATACAAAGTTAATTGTAAAATGTTTTAGATTTCTTAAGAAAATTGAAAACGAGAAACAAGAAACGTGAAACGTTACCAAACGAGTCTTAAATATCTAAATATATAAACAAAACAACAACTTTGTGATACATCATGTTTCTATTAACAAATCTTGACATTATTTCTCAATAAATGACTTAATTGGAAAATTTTAATACATTAATTTTGAAAGATAAGACCATCTCCAACTATTTTTCAAATCTTAAAAATGCACCTTTTAAAATTTTAGGACATTAAACTCTAACTTCATAAATAAAAAATATATTTTACCATTTTAAATAAAATTTATTTAATGTTATTAATGATATTTTGTTGATATATATGTAGATTCACATTATAATGAAAAATTTTCATTGAAAATGTTGATTCATACCGACGCGACGGAAATTTAATATCTTGAATTAATCTTAAATGGAATGAGATAAATTAAAGAAAAACCTTTGAACTTTAAATATATCTTAATCTAATATACAAGACCAAGGGAGATTTCTTGGCTCGGCCCTTGATTGGACTCCAAACTTGGCGACTTGAAGAGTAAGTATAATCTTTACGATTTTGTTTTATGGTGGAACTTTGTTTGCATACCTTGCAACCCCAATATGATCGTATCGAAAAATCAATAAAGTCATAAATATAATAGATCTCACATCGCGAATCACGAAAATTAAGCTTCATAGAAATCTAAAAATAAGGAAGGCAATGAAAATAGAGTTTTCTCTGCATTTGATAGCAAATTTGAAAATTGAAAAAGATATTTTTGTAATATATTTATAAGTCTGTATTTGATAATAGATTTGAAAATTGAAGGAGACGTTTTTGTAACATAGTTGATTTATAACTAAATATTTAGTCTAATCTAAAATATTATTAATTAATTAATTTTTTAATTTTATTATTAATCAATTTATTAATATAAATATTTTAAATTTGGTTTAGAAGTAGTATTTTACAATATTCATTGATTAAGTGAATTTGAAAACAACAATCATTATCAAATTCTCCACCAAATCCGCCTTTATAATCTCGCACTGCCATTCTCGATTCTTTGGACGTAAAATGGTTGAATTTTCCACCAATTGCTTTTGTTGGATAATTGAATATCACAATACAAACAATTTGTTTTTCTGAAAAATATTTCTTCTTGAACTAAACTCATTATTTTTTTTTTATGGTAAGTAAAAACAAGACTGGTACTTACTAGTAAAAAGTCAAACAGTTGAACAAATAGTAATACGTACTATTTTCATCCATCTAAACGGGTCATTTTAATTGATCATAAAAGAAATACAAATCAACTTGAACTTATTTCTAAAAATTATAATACAAAATTCATATGTCCCTTAGTTAACTAACTATATCTGGAAATGGTGAACTCCATTATAAATTACAATGATTCTACCCAACCAAAGTATAACAAGATCAACAACCAATACATAATAATTAATATGATTCTAATCACTCCCATTTGGTCCTAATTTGATGAGTGTGCTTAAATTCCCAAGTAAGAACTAAGCTTCCATCCATTCTCTTGAGCACAAACCTCTCAATTAACACATAACACCCAAATCTCTTCCACTCTCCTACCCCTCCATACTCCTCTCTTCTCTTCACCTTCACATATTTCTTTTCCTTTTCTTTTCCAAATTCAAATCCCGCCCTCTCCTCCTCCCATTTCACTCTCTCCACAATCGCCAAGCTCAGCCCAACCCCCCACGACCCGAACCACACAACCCCATCACCAACTTCTCTACCATCGGTCCGCTGACCCGCAATCAAAATCACTTCCTTTTCCACAGACACATCAAAATCCACCCCTCGCTCACCTCCCCCCAAATTCCCACACCCAAATATCTCCTCCCAACTCTGTTGGAGGGTCATTTCATAGTACGGCGAGTTACTCACCTGAGAGCCAACCTCTCCATCCCGAACGAAAATGAAAGGGCAGTACCACTTCCCCACCACCACCGGGTCCGAAGATTTGGCCGGCAGCGAGAAGTTGAGAGCTGGGAGGTGGGCACGCAGCGCGGCGTCAAGGCCGAGCGCTTGGGTGAGCTCCAAGTTTTTGTTCTTGAAGGTTTTGGTATAAGCTCTCCAGCCCCTGCGCCTAAGGAAACGGGGTGGAACCCCGTCAGGAGCTATGGAGTTGGCCATAAAACCACAGGGCCCTGCACACTGTACATAATTACTGATTTGGAACTGTTGGTAGGCATTTGTTGGGTCGAAGAGTTGTGGTGGTGTATCAGGGATGCCAAAGCAACAGCAGCTGGTCTCATCGTCTTCCTTTGAACTTGTACATGCTAGCCTGCGTTTAGGTTCATACATTTGGACTATTATCACATCGAATCCTATGTTTATAGATATTAACAAGCTATAAGGGGATCGAGATCGGATCATGTCGAAATCCCAAATTCTTGATAAAATATTGATAAATATTTCAGTAAAAAATATTTAAATTAATACATAAATATTTATTTATTTATAATGATTATTATTTATAATATTTATTTATAATAAAATATTTACTTATTAAAAAAAATGATTAATATTAATATTATGTATATATTAGTGACATTTTTTTAATATTTATAATATTTTATCTCTTTTTTTAAACGGTGAAAATGTCAAATTTATACTGTCAAATACATAAATATGTGGAAAATATCAAATTTATACTGCCAAATACATAAATATGTGGAAAATATCAGGGACCGACAAATATTTAATATGATTTATAATGGCTGCTGAAAAATAAACTAAAAATTATTATTTATGGATGACTGACACATAAATCAAGCAAAATTTAACAAACCCGAACGCTGAATCGTCATGTGACCATGTCAAAGAAAGAAAGGCTAAACTCAAATCACAGACCCAGGATTCAACTTCATCGCGAAATAGCACAAATTAAAACACGTTTAGACTTAACAACAAAATACCCAAATCTAATTAAATAAAAGACATAACTATTTCGTTATTAATTTTTTATTCTTAAAAATAATTTGATAAATATTACTTCCAGTTCCAACTATTTGTTTATTTGCTTCCCAACTAAACACATGTAGGTACACGTGTATGCAAGTTTTGTTTATCAAGGAATTAGAATTTCTGGACGGATAAAAGTTTCCATAACAGATACTAAATAATGAGGTATATTTTAACCTAACTTAATCCCTATAGATACCACCCGACCTGATTGGGTGGGAAATTCCCGATTTGATTGGAGACCCTAATCGAGTTTCCGATCAGGACGGGATTTAATATTTTATTTATATTGTATATTTTTATATATTATTAATATAAATATATATTAATTATTATATATATATTTTTTAATTTTTAACCAAAAAAGCGCCCAAAGTCCAATTTTTCTTTGTATAGTAGCCTAATTTCTTCCTAAATCTTTCTAAAAGAAAGTAAAATATATATTGGAACGGAAGGGGAGATGAGGAAAAATCCCCAACGGAATGGGATGGCCGACGACGCGCAAAAAGGAAAAGGAGAAGAAATGAAGATGAGAGGGAGGCGCATACCCTTTTGTTTTGCCGCGAGATTTGATGACGTAATATTTGTTGGAAGACAAGGGGCGATTGATAACGGGAATGAGCAGCGCGTAGAAGTAATCGGTGTGCTGGTGCTCCCCTGAGTTTATGGTATAGCGAAGCTCCATTATCTTGTTCTGAGGGAAGGGCGGCGCCTTCACCGACTTCCTCTTAAGCAACCCAAAAAGCCATCTCGATTCCGCCGCTTCATCTTCTATCACCAGAACCCCCGTATTTGGACCCTCCACCAACGCCGCCGGCACCGGCGCTGCCGAAGTAGCGCCCTCATTTCTGTACATCGAAAGAGGCCTTGTCACGTACATCTTCTCGATCTGCTCCAATAATATTCTGATTTCTCCGATCCTCTTTCTTGATCTGATTTTATTTGATTTTTGGGGCACGGCTATATATTTAATTTGTTTGTTACATATATCCGAATTAAGGAGAAATTTCCTGCCGCTAATATAATATTCAGCGGCATTGACTTATTTGGTACTTGGAGTTTTGGATTGGACTTTTAATTAATTATTCATATATCTGTTGACTTACATTTGGTCATTTTGTGAATTGCTTGTGCTCCAAGTTTTGGAAAGTTTCAATGCTACTCTCTATTGGATGAGATCGTGAGCTTACGTGAAACGTGTACGGCGATAAGATTAGGTTTGACACGAAGATCAAAGAATAACACCACGTAGAATACTAATAAATAACAATCATTTGCTTGGGCGAGAAAAGTAATGCTTAGACTTTAGAGGTTTATATATATATAAATTAAGCTTTTAAAATTATGTGTATTTAATTTCAACTTTTTATTAAATAACTAATCTATTAATTTTATGTCCAGTATGTCCTAATTATTAATTTATTTAACAAGTATGTTACATGACATATAATCCTAATAGCTTTTTTTCTTTTTAATTATCGAGTCAACGACCATTTGACCTTTGTGCTCCAATTGTGCTCCAATACTTGGGTATACACACTATCTCCATTTTCGTACATACGCAAGGAGACTTCAAGGATATTTCTTCAGAATTATCCAAACCACCCAAACTCTTCTGGGCACTACATAATCAAGATATGTTGTTTAAGGTACATATCGTAGGTTACTTTAAAGTAAATTCTTGAACTAGTGATAACTTTATCTTGCACTAACCCTAATTAAATGTTTGATAATTATGGAGCGAAACGAAAAAATGTATATATATATTTTTTAAATAACGAGATGCCTCAATTTTTCAATAATGATATATCAATATAGAGATAGATCATCATCCGTCAGAAGCTAAGTAATTTCCTTCTTGAATAATGTGCCAAGCATTCAACTAAAAACTTATTATCCTAAAAAAAAGAAAAAAAAAACTAAAAACTTATTATAAATTTTTAAGGTATAAAGATTAAAGGTTAAATGTCCATAAACTTTAGTTTATAACGATTTAATCCCGATACTTTCACTAAAATAACACTTTAGTCCCTAAACTTTAGTTGGAATGATTTTTACTCCCTATCATGAAAAATCTTACTAAAATTAAATATCAAGTTTTATCATATAACAATTTAATCTTTCTAATCTATAAACATATTTGGTCCTTGTAAGTTTACCAATCCATATATATAAGAAACTAAAAAATTTCACGATAAATACTAAATTGTTACAAACTTTAAATTACAAGTTCTAAATCGTTACATATTAAAGTTCAATGACTAAATTGTTATGAATTTGAAAGTACATAGATTAAATTGCATAATAAAATAATAAAATAATAAGACTGTAGTAAAGATTGGAGTCTATTTTCATAAGTACTTGAAAATGACTTCATAATGGCAAGTTTTGATGGTTATTTTGATTTTCAGTTATTCTGGTATTGAATTTATAAGCATTTTTTTAATACTGTATTTTGGTTATTTTAAATTTTATATAAATGTAATATTTGAAATGGAGCTAAATTTTAAAACCGTCTTTTTTTCTCTCTTTGAAGTAAAATTTTAAAGGCCCTTTCCAACTAAAGATTAAACGAAAAAAAAAAGAAATTGAAAATTTTCAATCAATGTTATTGGGCTGTTTGGTTCAACTTAAATGGCAGTTTTAATTTAATTTATATTTTATTTTAAGACTCTGCTGGTCTTATTAGATTAACYTTTTCATTTACCTCTTAAAAAGAAAAAAAGAAAAAAACTTCTCTTACATTTACCTTTCAATTCATCAATGAAACAATTTATTCTAATATTATTAAATAAATTGCTGAAACAAATTTTCTTCCAACATATAAGATTTGAAGACATAAATTTGAACTTTTGCATGCTTATTGAAATTGTAACTGGACACAAACTTTTTCCCACTTGTATACCAATGATGTCAAAATCATATTCCTTTAATATGTTATATTCATTATTTATACAACAGATAAACAAATCTAGATTTTCTAACTTTAAATTATGCAATTTTTCTTTTTTTTTTATTTATTGTCAACATAGTTCAACAGTAAAACACATAGCCTTCGTCATATATTCCATTAAATCTCATCGTTAAAAAAAAGTATAATTTGTTAAAATGGACCGGAAAATAACAACTAACAACTCAAGAATTTTAAATCGGTTGACATTTGGTCTTGAGATACAAATTATATCCATACACATTTTATGTTTTCTCTTTAAGATATATTTTCAAACAGTGCAATTTTTTATGTTAAAAATTGATTTTCTCTTAGTCTTTAAACTTTAGTTTATAACGATTTAATTAAATACTTCTAAATTGGTAACAATTTAGTCCTTAAACATTTTTCTTTCATATCCATGTGTTTTACAGCCAGCTCCCGTACTTCTCGATCTCGTGAGACAATCGACTAATCTTACTACATTTGGTTGCTAAGAAAATACAAAAGAAATTAATTTTTAGTTAGGTGGCAATCATGAGGTTTGAACACGATTTAGTCGATGTAGTTAAAATTTAGTCACTGCTATAATTTTTTTTATATGTTTCTTATATATATACACATCGATAAATTACTAAGGAACCAAATGTGTTAATAAATTACAAAAACCAAATCATTATATAACAAAAATAGACACTTAATTTTGATGAGATTTTTTATGGCACGGACTAAGTTGTCACAAACTTTAAATTATAGAGACTAAATTGTTATTAGAGTCTTAGATTATCACTAATTTAAAAGTATAGAGTGACTAAATCGTTACAAACTAAAATCAAATGTCTAAATCGTTAAAAATGTATTTTTTTTTCTTATAAAGTTGAAAAACAACACATGCCTAAAACATTGATACATTTCTTTCTCTCCCAAATGCGAAAAACCAATCTTCCTTTTGGGTAAACTTCGTGCAATTAGACAGCCAATCTAGTGTAACATCACATGTTTATATAATTAAAAAGATAATAACTTTACAAAAAGAAATTGATTGTTTCTCAAACTTTACTTTTTTTCTATATCAACTGTGACTGAGTGAGACATTCTTTCTTCTATTCCTTGTCTCTGTCTTCCCATTGTTTCGTGCTCTACAACCCAAACAGTGCCTTTTGCCACCTCTCCAACACAGACAATACACATACTCCCAAAAACATAAAATAAGAGATTCAACAGAAAAAAAAAAAAAAAAGAGTACACGAGTGGATTTCAAGACAATTTACCAACTATATTCGGAAAGATGGCAGAAAATACAGATCAATATTTGTACTAACCTACACCAGAAAAAAGAAGAAAAAAGAAAAACAAAAAAAGGACACTTTCAGTTTCAGTCATTTGTTTTTCCTTATTCAGTTCAAGTTTTGGACATTAAATCTTCTTCTTTCTTCCTCCCAGTTGCAGTTGCCCAATTTGGCGGATGCTTGAATATCCATTTCCATGCCTTCAAGMTTTTCCTCCCCTTCTTTATCCCTCTGTCACTAACTGTTATCCTACAGGAACCTCCGCCGGCGCCGGCCATCCCTCTGCCGCATTCATGCGCCGCCGCCATGTCAAAAGCCCTCGTGCTCCCAAATGCAGAGGTGGGGTTTGAGAGAGGGCCTAAACCCAAACCCAGACCCATTTTGGGAACAGAGTACTCTGTTTTTGTTTCTGATGTGAAATCCAGCTTGAAATCTATGAACCCAGATTCGTCCATGCCATTAAAATCGCTCTCTTTCAGAGAAAACACGCGTCTATTGGCTAAATTAAACCCATTTTGATCGTTTTCGAAATTTCCCCCTTCTCTGTGATCGCTCTCGAAGCCACTCTTTCTTGGCTCTGTTTCGCTGAATCCACTTCTTCTGGCGGAATCGCAGAGCATACCCCCATTGACACTCGAAGTTCTGGCTCCGGAAATCGAGCTCCGGCCACCGGAAACCACCATATCGCCGCCGTCCTCCGACCCGAAAAACCCACCACCACGGAAACTACAGAGAGATCTCGACCTGGACACACCCATGAAATCAACCATACAAATTTCACTCTTTTCATCATACCCACAAACGCTTGATCTCTCACATCCCTTCTCCCTCTTCTTCCTGAAAAATTTCCCAATTCTCCAAAACCCACTCTTCTTAATCTCCGCACAGCTGCTACTGCTTCTCTCTAGAACCACAACCTCTTCCCTTTTCTCCAATTTGAGCTTGCTCGGGCCCAGCAATGAAACGCCATTCCTCTCATTCTCAATCAAAAACGAAACTCTCCCCACACTTCCCACTTCCACAGTACAAGAATTTCGATTGGATGAGATCTCAGAGCAAGAGCAAGAGGAGAGCCTCTGCTCGCCGCAGTCAGAACAAACCAGCTTGATCAGCCGATCTTTCAAGCAATCCGCGCAGACCCCAACAGAGGAAGAAGATGGGTGCTTCTTACAGGGGAATTCAGAAGCAGAGGAATAAAAATCCGTGTCATTGCTGTAAACTTCCACAGCTTTGCCTCTCTCCCTCATGGCCGCCGCTGCTTCCTTGATGGGTTCTGAGAAAAAAAAGACAACCGACTTTCAAGAAGTGAGAAGAAAAGGAAAAATTAGCCCAAATCAACTCGGATTCATGGAAAAAGGAGAACTGGGTCAGCTCAGAATGCTTCACAGCTGAAAAGGGGAAAGGAAAAAAAAAGACACAGATTGCAAAAGTTTTGACTTTGGGAGCACAAAGAAATGTAAAAAGAAATACAAAAAAAAAAAAAAAAACTTTGTTTCTAGAGAGAGACGTAAAAATCACGTTTTGTAGGCACCGAGAGGAGAGGGAAACAGAGAAAGCAGAGTGACGAAAAGAGAGCACTATTTTGTGCAGCCCATAATTGCTCTTCTGCAGGGGAACTGAATGCTTTCTTCATAATAAGAAGGTGATGGGTTCTGCTACTCTGCTGCAGGGTTCACTGTCTTATCCTACACCCCTAACAAAGTATACAAATCGTACGGTAGATATCCAATCTCACTCGCGCTGCCTCCGCCGTGCTCTTGAATCGCCATCAGAGGTTGCGTGTTGGATAACCTTCCACGTGAAAATTTTAATGAAATGAAATCAAATCAGAAATGTTTTTAAGGTTTTATCATATTGTTTGGTAATTGGTTAGGGGGTTACCACTTTGGAGTGTTGATTAATACAATGTCAGAAGTGGATAAAGTTTGAAGTGTCGCAACCCATAAGTTTTGAAATTAAAAATTTTACCATGAATTTGGGGGAAATAAATGTATGTTTGACAAATTATATTTGGCCGTTTGATATTTAATGAACTACACATTGGACCACAAAAATTGAATGAATGTAAACCAAGAAACTTATTGGGTAACTATTTTGAAGAAATGAAAATTTTACTTTTTTGTTTGAAATTACTTTTGGAAACAGTTTTTTCCTTTTTGGAAAAGATTAAAATCATTGTATACAGTATACTTAACATTATCATTATTCACATGTACATAAGTTTGAAAAGGAACTTTAATAGTTTTGAAACAAGTTATTTGTGAAAACAAATCAAAACAAAACTAGATTAAGAAAAAACTTCCACAAAATAATTACACCATACATCATTCATTCTTGTAATTTAACCATTGCACTCAAAACAATATAATATCTTACAACACTACTTAAATTATATTACAGTTCGACTAGGCTCATATGTCAAATTACTAACTCAATCGTAATTCAATTGGTTGAGATATTGTACGTCTGTCTTAAAAGATTAGATGTTAAAATATGCTGACATTTTCGAATTAAAACAAAATTTCATATCATGAAATTCATCTACCATGTCGTTATGTTAGGTAAGCACAACAATAAACTTTGATAAACATGGGATTAAGTTAAGATAAAGATCAAAACAAAAAAGAGAATAAATAGCAAATGAAAGGAGCTTTTCAAATATCAACCAGAATAGTGAATCCGAGCATAAGTCAAGTAGATAAGACACCTATTTCTAGTTGATAGTTTGATATCCCACCCCACAATTATTAAAGTAAAAAATAAAAAAGTTAAACAGTAGGCGGTTTAATTTTCGTACTATCCACTTTTGTTCATTTTGATCCCTATATTTTCAATTTTCATTTACATTAGTCAATGTACTTTTGAAACATCTAGTCCTTTGTACTTTTAAAATATCACTATTTTGGTATTCTATTTTTATTTTTATCTCATTTATTTAATCATAATTTTAGCATGATTATTCACTCACTAAATTCTTGAAATATAACCATAAATTTGTATTAAAGAATTTTTATTAGGTATGAAATTTGTATTAAAATTTTATAATAAAATCCAAATTGACTATTTTTTAATAGTATAAAGACTAAAAACCATGATAGATGGCTTATTCGTCCAAACAAACTAGGTTATTTCAAAGGGAATGAATTTAAATCTCATGATGTCCACGTACCTTATAAAGTAGTAACTTTTATATGTTTCATGGCATGTTGTAAAGTCGGGCGAGACAAGCTGGCCCAAACAAAAGTAAAATAAAAAATAAAAAAATAAAAAAGACCCATATAGGATTTGAAATTTTTGTTTTTAATTTGAACCAATTTAATGAGAGAATGGGAATAAAAATGCATGAGAAGTAGAAGTGAAATAGTGAATAAACTTTTTGGATTTGAGTGTGAATTGTGATTAAGGTTGAGATTAAGGTTTAGGAGGAGGCATGCAGCACCTCAATTCTCCTACTTAACTTACCATCATCACCTTTCCAGACACCACCCCATACGCTGTCGTCCTCTCCTCACCAGATTTCGCCACGTGTCTCACATCTTAAAAATCGATAATTTATTATTATTTTTCTTGAAAAGATTTATTTTTTACCATTTAAATTTAAATTTATTTGCCCCACGTGGGCCCCTCCTCCCTTCCTTCACATGCCATGCATGATCACATTCTATATTCTCCCTGCCGTTACCTCACCTTACCCCCATCCAAAGCATTAAATCCCTCAAATTTATTACTATACTACAATTTCCACTCCTTTGGATATATATATATACATATATATTTTCTTTTTCTGTTCATAGAGTGTTCTATTTTTTCTGATCTAATTTTTAGAGTATTTATTTAGTACAATAAATTTGAAGTAGGAAGATTTGGACCTTCGACCTTAAAAGAAGTATATATTATTTACCGTTGATATTGCAATTTTAAATGATGTTTGGTCCGTACCTACATAAGATTATGTACACCTACATCTTATACTATATAATAATTCTTTAACCCTTTATCAAAAATAATTATTCTTCTAAAAAAAATAAAATAATAAAATAATTATAATAACAATTTTTTAACCTACCACCTATTCTTTCGTACCTAAAAAAACCCTATTACTTTGTACTATGATAATATATAAATCCAAACCGTTCAACCTTGCCTAAATTGATTAAAATTGTGAGCCAATCATTCCCTTACATTTTTAAATATTATACTTTACTTTTAGTCCTTAAATTCTCAAGAATTCTATTCTATACATTGAATTTTAAATATATATATATACATATAAACTATTTTAATAATTTTTGTTAAAATTTTTCAAATCATTTAACAAAAATATATATCTATTTCTAGTACTACTAGATCATGCAAACATCTACTCATTAAATAAATGATTTATATTAAATTGTAAAAAAAATGATTTATATTAAATTAATAACAGTAACAAAAAATAAAGTTAAAGAGCTAAAACATAAAATTTAAAAATGTAGATACTAAAACCAAATAGAAACAAAAGTTTAGTATGAAGTAAAACAGAGTTTGATCCTTAAAGTGGCTCGAATACCTCATGTAAAATTCTTGATTTTAAAAGTAGAATAATTCCATGCCGAAAGTTTCAAAATTCATAAATAAAGATTAAACCCCAAAAACACATTTTTCAAAACACCTCCCATGTTCATGTTCTAATTTTTAACCAAAAAAAAAAAAAGAATTGTTTAACAAAGCCACGTATAAGTAGGACCTCCAAAATTAAGCTTGCTAAAGATAAATTATAGTATTCTTTTTTTTTTTTTTTGAAAGGGATAAATTATAGTATTCATTATTGAAAAATAGCATCATACTCCATACTCCGAGGTTAGTACTTTAGAGCAGAGGGATCATAATAGTAAAAGTCGCACGCTCCATACACGCGCGAGCATTTTACATTATTGGAATACACAAAACAAACAGTTCGACAAAAACATTAGTTTAATATTAAAAAAAAAAAAAAAAAACCTTACTATGACTTGAATATAGTTGGCATTTGGCAATGATGATGTCCCTATGGACTTCCCTTAATTAATAATTTTGCTATTGTTTATGTAACTTATAAGCTTTAACCAAGGAGTTAATGGGATTGTCACTTTCAATATTTATGCATGATTATGAGCATATCCTGTCTTGATAAAACAACAAAGATTATGTCCTACTTTTTGCTTAATTTGAATGTGCTCATGATTAAATTAAAAAACCAACCTACCCCAGCTTATATTACATGCTCTAAGAAATATACCTTTGCTGTCTGACGTGCTCTATTTCCATTGGATGCTTCCCAATTCTCTGTGATCATACATCAGAAGGCTGAATCACATTTTCATCATTTAATCAGAATTCACTGATTGGATTTGGACGTTTCAGATCATACACAATAATAACCACAAAATATGGACATTAACATAATGTAGCTGTTATATATGTCTACAACAAGAAAAACTCAGAAACTTCTGAATGTGTTCTGAAACTTACAGACCTAGTAGTATCATATGCAGAAATTCTGCTCTAGGATTCCGTTTACAGTCTATACAGAGAGTGATACCTTACTGGGATTTAGATACCATGGACTTTACAGCCAAGGTTCTAAAATGGCTTCATACATCTTTCCTTTGAACTAGAGCTGATATTCTGTAAGAGTTCAAAATTATCAAGCATGATTAGTTTCATGAACACTGTAGATCTTAGCAAGTCAATAAGGAATGGAAGCAAGGACATACCAATATGGAAATCAACAGGTTTCAAGCCTCTTTCTTAATTATCCTGATATTCATGGAAAGCAGTATCAGACAGGTTTAATCCTTTTAAAATTTCTATAAGGACAATAAAATCCAGTCTTTTTTGAATGTCATCCAAGTACAGACCAACTGTAAATCTTGGATGATTTTTCGACCTCGCTCATACCCAGGATAAGAATAAATTTTTGTATCATGGGGAAGTAAATTGATGACTATACAGAGGTAACGTACGGATAAACCCAACTGAAAACCACAAGATCTATCCAGTGATTCTTGTTGGAGACAGTGCAATAAATAAGAAAATCCTAGGATTTTCCCAATCTGGTAGCTGGTAGAATTTTTATTGATCATGTGATTTGGTTTTCTCTCTCACCTGAAGCAATGGATTCCCAAAGAGCTCTTCATCTCTCGAATAACTGATGTGGCAAAGTGCAAATAGAAAGCAGCTGAGAACGGAGAAAGATTGAGTTAATGGTACATATGGAAAACTGGAGTAGCATAAAAGATCAAACTATTCTAAAAGCATGTCGAAATTAAACTGCAGAATTGAACTTTAGGAAAACAAAAGTTCCCGAAAGGAGCTTGCTAACTTATAATCATTGCAGACTACATGAACAAGCAACACAAATGATTCTCAGGAACCAATGATATCACATTTTTGTTATCAATAAAATTGATGATACCTGTGTAGATGAAGTAACCAACTAGAATCAATCTCTCATCAAACATGGGAATCCTGAAACAGTTTATATATATGGTTCATCAGTTGAAAGAGGTCCAACATTCACATCTAGGGTGCTATTTCCATTAATTATATGAAGCCGGACTATAAATATATACTTTGTCACGTACCCGTCACCAAGTCTTGCCGTCAGTGCATTTGCAATCGCAAATGGGAGATAAAAAAGTGACTGAAAAGT